GTGGACCCGGGTGGTAGAGCGGCACTCAAACTCCTCCCTACCCTGCTCTACATGTTCTTCCGCAGTTCCTAAACTTTATCTCAATATTGGCTTCCGAGTATGATTCGTTGGATGTAATGAGTGGAGTGTGCAATGCCGTGTTTGGACTGTCTGACAATCCTTCCTAAGCTTGTGATTATGGATTTTTTTTTTTTTTAAGGGTAATTCTTTCAGCCCAACCAATTCAATTACCTGTCAAATCTGGACAGGACGGCCTTTCAGGCCTTTCTTATTGTCATTATAGTATTACGGGGAACCCTGTAGCAGCCACATCCGTGCTCAAGCCTCCAACGAGTATTTCAGCAAGAAAGTGCCCATCATGCAGTCCATTGACGATGCACGCAAGGAGCTCCTCGCCTTCGTCCACGCACTCAAGCGGTGGCGACACTTCCTCCTTGGTCGAAGCCAATTTCGATGGGTAATGGACAACAATCTGTTGGTCTTCTATAAGACCCAAGACACCGTCAACAGCACCATCGCTCGATGGATGGCTTTCATCGACCAGTTCGACTTCTTTCCCGATCACATTCCTGGGAAGTCGAACCGTTTTGCGGATGCTCTTTCACGGTGTCCGTTGTACTGCGGTCTACTCGACTTTCGAGATCGACGATGACCTGCGGAACAGCTTCATCCGCTGCTACCAAGCCGACCCCGAGTTTCGTGACAAGTACGCGAATTGCTCCTCTCCTAATTCGGTGCCTTCTCACTACCGTATCCAAGAGGGGTACTTGCTTGTCCACATGCGTGGGAAGGATCTTCTTTGCGTACCGAGTGATCCTCACTTGCGTACACGGCTTCTTGGCGAGTTCCACGATGCTCCCGCCACCAGACACTTTGGAGTCAATCGCACGATTGGCCGACTTCGCGAGCGATTTTGGTGGCCCGGCCTTCTCGGCGACGTCACACGCTATTGCGAGTCATGCGAGGTTTSCCGACGCTGCAAGCCCCGCAACCATCGTCCGTACGGYGAGTTACGACCATTACCCGTCCCGTTGAGGCAAAGGGAAGCGATTGCCATGGACATCACCGGCTGTTACATGCCCAGTTGGGCGATGTACATAGAAACCGAGGATCCGCAATGTGATGAAAAGGACTGAATGGACAATGCAGTGCAAGTAGAATCTCAACATGCAATGTGCATTCTCATACATACAARGAGGGTGCTGAATAGCRCAGGGAAGACTTASATACAAAGCCTGACCTGACCGGGACTGACCTCATTCACATAGCATCAGATAGCGAAGCAGAATGCTAGACTGCTAATAACTAGCCAATCAATGTTTGAACGCAGACCAAACATACATCGTATCCATCACAAGGTGTGAAGGAGTCTGACGCTGTACACAGGAAGAAAGCGCCAGGTCCAGACATACACAGACGAAGAGGAGGGGATCAGACGAAAGGAGGGAGAGAGATGGGAATGTCGTCAACACCAAGTCTTTGTCACAAGTCCCAAATAATCCCTCGTTGCAATGTCTGAAGTCTAAAAGTCGAGTCTGGATCCGATGTCACCAAGCTCTTTCTCTCTTCTCTCGTAGTCTGCAGATGCAGTGAAGTCAGATGATGAGAGGGGGAGAAGGAGATTGTGGACTAAGAAGAGGAAGAATAAGAACTCTATCTCTCTCTCTGTTACGAGCCTGATACTAACCTGTGATGTTGGCGCTGTGCTGCAGGTACCTCGAAGACGAAGCTGGAGCAACGGCTCTGCAGTACCCAAGGCCACCGCCCAATCTCTCTCTCTCTCTAGTGCTATCCTAGCTATGGCGCCCAGCACTGGAGACTACAGCTACCTACTGCGCCCAGCGCTGAAGACTAAAGGCTAACGCTACTACTACTTCGTACAGCGCTTCCTCCAGAGTGCTGCGGCCGAATCCTACTCGAACAAAAAGACAATTTGTCAATTTTAAAGCACTTAAAAGGAGCTCAAAGCACACGACTAATACACACACCTTGACCTTTTGAATCAAAACCAAAAAGGATGTGCGCAGAAGATAG